GGGGAGAGTATTTACCCGCCAAAAGAGCCCCCCCCCACGAAGGGACACTCTTGGAGTGGGTGGCCCTTTGCAAAATTCCTGTTGAGGGAGACAACAACATTGCCTGTTTCTGGTGAAAAAGGTCATAAATTGGGAGGTGACACTCGCACACCTCCACACCCTGAAGTAACCGCTCTGGCTCCTCTGGGCTGCACCACGCTCGGTCCGGACGTCGCTGCTGTCGGGAGGCCACAGCAAGCACGGTGTTTTGCAAATGCCACCGCACTGGTAAGAGGGGCTTACATGTCCCTGCCCACCCCATACACTGTCCCGCAAACACACAGTGACCAGTGGACGCTGTTCTAGCCGTAAAGTGAAGGTTATGCATCTCGTCAGATGGAAATAAAACTCCCCGTGAGCCATAATACCCTCTAACAACATGCTGCCTGGTCCTTTCTCTGAAGTAGAGGCCCGCAACACTTCTGAACACACACTTTCCCTAGCATTATTCAGAGATGGGTCTGCAAGGCGGAAGGATGAGGTTGCTCACATCTGGCGAGTTTTCATCTTACTGCAACAAGGTGGCATGTTCAGGTGGAAGGAGTTGGTTTAGGTATTTCTACCTCCCACTGGCTACGAACAGCAAGAGGAGGGTGTGCCGGCAAGCCCTACTTCAAGAGTTGCCCTTGCATGGTTGCAACTGACTTCGATGCTGTAAATGATTCTGAGGATTTTGGCAGCCTGTGATGTTTTAACCTAGCTGAAGCAGGAGCGGACAAGCAGAAACCTTGCCCAGAGCACTGTGTCTGCACATGGTAAAAATCTCACTTGGTGATGAACTGCTTGTCTCTGGGAAGGGTGTGGGACTGGGATAAGAATAGACAGGGGCTGACAGCACCTCGTACTGTCTTGGGTTGGGTGTAGTTATCTTTCTGCTTTTTACCACTATAAAACCTACCCTGTTTGGTTGAAGTCATTTGCTAACGGGCATATATTGTGATTTTTTTCCACCCCCCAAGCATCTCACAGACCTTTTAAACAATTTCAAGGAGGCCATGTTCAAGAAAAGCCTATGTCTTTCCTCTTGAATTTCCTCAGATTTCACAGTACATTTTTTTCATCTCAACAAAGCAAAAGCATTTCTAACACTGACTTTTAAAAGCATTCC